TTTTTCTCTTATCTTTTCATTCAAAACTTTGACCTATCTAATCAATGTCCCAAAGCCCAAAGAGATATCTAGAGTATACGGCATTTGAAGATGGTTTGCACTGCTGATGTGATTCTTTATTATGAAATGTATAGAAAATGTTAATCAGAATGGAAAACAATGTAACAACCTGCTATGGTTTAAATGCTCCCAACAAAACGCATGCTGCAATCTAATTTCCACTGTAGTGGTACTGGGTGGTGCGGGAGTGTTTAGAAGTGCTTAGGTCTTGAGGGCTCTGCCCCTCGCAGTGGATCAGCGCTGTCACCGCGGAGTGCATTAGAGTTCGGCCCCTTCTGTGCTCACATGCTCCCTCCTTCTCTCAGACATGCTCATGGATGCTCTTTCTCCACCGTGAGATGCTGCAGCAAGCAGGCCCCCACAGACACAGCCCTGCAAACCTGACTGATAAATTGTCAGTCTGTGGTATTCTGCTACAGCAGCTGAACATGGACTCTGACACAACCATACGGCAACCTGTGTTTATATGTCTAGTCTCCCTGCTAGATTTAGTACTCCGAGGGCGGAGATGTTTTACCTTGCATTTCACCTGCCTACCACACAGCTTGGCACCAAATGTTCAATAAATGATTCTGTGAAAACACACAGCACAGCCTGGAGCTTTATTTAGTAATTTCTTTTTCTATAGTTCCTTCAAAGTCTCGGGAATACTCACAGAACCCCCTGCTGCAATGTGGTATTCTCAATGAACTTCTGCGGAAACTCACTGTTTTGTCTCATTCCGCTAGCATCTTTGATTACTCAAATACTTGTGTGTCTCCCCTCATACGTGGCTGTCTGGCTCTAGCATGACTGCTTGGCCTTGTATGTGTTTACTGCACTGCACTGATACTTAGAATGCACTGAGAAGGGAACGTGTGCTCTACGAAGGGTCCCCAGAACACACTCTCCTCCATCGACAGGCACATTTAAGGCAATACTAAAGCAAGAAAAACACAGGCAATTTCAATTATCTTGCTTAGGACTAACTTTAAGTCCTGCTAAAGGAGGTACTTGGCCTTTACAAACACACTACCTCTAGGAAAGGGAGGGAGTGCGAGAGGGGAGCGGGGGCAGTGGAATCCATGCGATGAAACGAGGCCGGCCACGGTGCCCGCTGACAGGAAAGGAATCTACAAATCCATCTGCAGATGGTATCAGCAAGCAGGCAGGAATGTAACACTCGGGCATGAATCTAAAATGCACAAATGGTACTCATCTGTTAAACCTCAAGAGAAACCTAGTTCATTCTTTCCTAGTTTTGGTGGATTGTAAATGAAACCTACCACAAAAGTATCTGCTGGAACAGTTAAAACCAAAACCAAATATCTCTGTTTACTGTAACTGTTAAGCTGTGAAATAGGCAACAAATTGTGAAGGTGCAGTGCCCGGGGTTTGAAAAGATGTATCTAGCACTAGCACTTTGAAGGTCAGTTTAGCAACATACATGAAAAAACCCTACAATTTTGAAATCATTTGGTCCACCGATTTCAGGAATGCATCTACAAAGGTTTTACAACAAGAAAAGTCACTATATTAATATTTAAAACAACAATCAACTGGAAACAATTTAAGTGCCTAAATATTTTATGTTGATAATTTCTTTATACTCACAATTATTTTTATACTTATGAGTATTCTTTCATAAGGTTTTTATCATCTTTAACAAATAAAAGAAAAAAAAAACAAAAGAGTGTGGCTGTCAAAGTATTTTTGTTGTTGCTGAAGAATCCTTTTTATCCTTCAAATGAAATTTTAGTTGCAACTTCAACTTGCAGAAATACAAAGTAAGCAGAACAATCAAAGGAGCTGTCTTTAAAGTGAAGAGGGAGAATCAGAGGCAGAATCAGCAGAACTGCCCATCCATCCAAAGGGGCACAACTTTCACCTTCAAGGAGCACATTGTGAAAACTATTACTTTTTTTGGCAGTGTTGGAGATCAAAACCAGGGCCTCACACAGGCCAGACTAACACTCTGTCACTGAGCTGCACCCCAGCCTTGAAAACCACTATTCTTCAAGAACATTTTTTATAAAGTTGTGGGGGGAAAAAAGATTATAAAATGATCGCATTTTTATTTTTTTAATTTTTAAATTTTTTTTGTGGTGCTGAAGATCAAACCCAGAGCATTATGCATGCAAGGCAAGAGCTTGACCACTGACCCACATCCCCAGCCCCTCGATTACATTTTTAAAAGATGTGTGTATAGTTTATACATCATACCAAGAAGAATGGTTAGAAGAATGTTTCTACAGTTTGTATTTCTTGCTTGTTAATCTTCTACAATGAGCATGCATTATTTTCATAGGAGGGAAAATAACATTAACTATTTCTAAAGTTGGATTCTTCTGTTAAATAAGTTTTCATAGCCATTTAACTCAGTTGGTCTTTGGAGTATTAATTCTTGTCTTTTTTTTTTGAGACAAAGTCTCACGATACAGTTCAGGCTGGCCTTGAACTCACTATGTATCCCAGGCTGGCCTCAAACTCCCAACAATCCTCTTGCCTCAGCCTCCTGAGTGCTGGGGTTACAGGCGTGTGCCACCATGCCCGGCTCTGGAGTATTAATTCTTTGGGTGCCTGCTCAATTGAAGTAAGATATTTCACATTTGAAAAATCAAGGAAACACTGACATCCAGGAAAACAGACTCATAGCAGCAAGTCCCTTGGTACCCTTAGAGATTTCTCTATGCTAAGTTGCAAGGACTTCATTAAAAAGTGCTCCATGCTTTGGTTTCTCTGTCTTTCATATGCTGGGTCAATTCAGGGAAATTCGCCATTCTTTAAAGGGCTATATCACTCATTCTTCAGATCTTAGGAGAGATCTTCAGAAGTCTCTGACTATACTACATACTTCCAATTACTGCATTATTTCCTAGAACTTAACATAGTTATGTACTTGTTTACTGATTTATTATGTATTTCACTACAAAATTGAAGTTTCATAAAAGCAAAGACAATGCCTATTTGCCGATACATTACAAAATGCCCCATATAATATCTACCAATTATCCATCAATATTTGTTGAGTGAGTGAATAAATAAATGCTTGCTAGAAGTTTAATTTGAAGACGCCTAAGAACGTTCTTTTCTAAATGGGTTGGTGAGGTCCTATTTCCAATACTGTTTTTATTTCTGAAAACCTCAAAATCAGAGTCACATTAACTAAGCACATTTCATAATGGCTATGTCAACTGAGCCCCAATTCACAGAAGGAACTCCTAGTTTAGGACACCCACCCTAGGACCAACTAGTCCTGTACAGTAGAAGCTAACATTCTTTCAGCAGCACTATTACTTTTAAAAAACACTAATAAGGGTTAATCTCAGTTCAGTGCTTTTTTAGTACATGTCATCCCACACATATGCTGATGTGAAATCACTGAATTATGAGTTGTTTCTGTCAGGCCTTTGAATAACATGAGACACTATTTGGTGCATAACTTAAATGACAACAACAACAACCCAACAGTTTCAGAGAAGCCCTCGCCACTACAGGCCCAACTTAAAAACATCAAAACAAGCAGTGCAAAAAATACCCATATAATGTACCAAACGAGCACTGAGACATAACATTTTAAACACTTACAAATATTTGGTTTCAAAGCCTAAATGGAGCATGCAGGCTTTCCACATCTTTTCTTGCCAAGTCTCAGGAAAAAAACTGACCAGACTACAGTCATCTAAAACGGCTGCCAGGACAGATCTTCAAATATTTGGTTTCAAAACACAAACTAATTTGCACTTTAAAATTTAGGTGCTCGGACTCCCACTGTATCACTGCACAAGATACCCCTTCTAAAGTGGGCTGCAGGCAAAACTAGACCTTTGTTTATGGGTAAGAACTATTCCAAATGTACCAGTAAACTGTTAACCCAAATACTAAATTCAAAACTGTCTTTCTTTCTAAAGGTGGGGATGACTTTCACTACCTATTACAGAAAGAAAATGTGAAATGTAGGAACTGTGGAAGGAAGGAAAAGAGTTTACGTCCACTTCACTTACTGCTGACTTCCTTAAACTAACTTTTTAGTATATTGGGCACTCAAATATAAAATATCAAATTTACCTCACTTTGAGTTGTTGGAAAGTCCAAGAGACAGAAAAGGATCCCAGTCTAGAAATAAGTCAAGTGATTTAAAATAACCTTCCCCACACTCCGGTAGAGTTATGCTTGTTCTCCAGGACTGTGTGCAAGGGTGGCTGTCCAGCTGGTAGCCCTACTCTTCTGACACTTACTAACACTCTAAAGTAACACTCGAGGAGCCTGGGACAACAGGCGCACACATAGCAGTTTTTACTCTCCGGAGCAGACAACAATTCTGATTATCGATTTCAATTGGCTGGATTTATCTTAACTTTAAGAGGTCAGCCATTAAAAATACCTTTATTTTTACTCAAAAACACTGTTTTATTTCCCTTCAAATCTTAAATTTAAACTTTGTTCCTGAGAAATGCATTGCTAAAAAAAGATGTTATAGTAAACTAAGTATATCTGGCATTTTACAAAGCAGTAGTCCATCTTCACCCTGTTATTCTGGTGGGTATTACACACACGGAAAGGACAGAACAACAGTTAAGAAGTGTACCAGCCAGGTGTGGCGGCCCAGGCATGTGAGCCCAGCGCTCTGGGAAGCTGAGGCAGAGGGACTGCAAGTGCAAGCCCCACCTGGCCAACTCCGTAACTCAGCGAGACTGCCTCAAAATCAGAAAATTCTAAAAAAGGGCTGGGGATATAGCTCAGCGCCACGGCCTGAGTTCAATCCCCAGAACTAAAATAAAAAACCCACAATAAAACAACAAAAAGAGAAACAGATCATAGTTCATACAACGGAGGAACGCAATAGAGAACTCATCCCACTTTCCAACTTGGTACTCTTCTCCTGCAGGCAGCTATCAGAACACTCGGACCAAGGAAACTCCAGGCAGGTAAGAGTCCCTTCTGCACCTTCCCAACCTTACCTCTTTGTGCACCTTCCAACTGTCTACCGTCACATTGAAGAGAGCTTTGAGGGCCTCAATGGCACAGTCTGTCTCCTGAGGTGATAGAGGAGGTCCATTATGGTCTATGGCCGATTCATACTCATCGGTCCACTTGATGCTAAAGGCACTTTCCAAGATCTGGGTTAGCAGCGGTAGTCCTTGGAGCTCATAGCGCAATTGTGACCTGATGTCAGTGTGCAAAAGTGACAGGAGGAAGAGCAAGCGCAAGTCAGAGCATTTAATGTCATTGCTAAATTTTTGGTCCTTGTACTTTCTCAGGAGGTTACAGAGCTTTGCGGCAAGATTAAGTTCCAGGCTGAGCTGCTGTGCCATCTGACTGTTGAACACTATGTTACATAGACACTTTAACGATTCCACAATAACGGGGAACTCGGACACTTTCTCCAAAGAATCATCTGACTCATTTAGCTTGGCTAGTCTCAGCAGTATCTGCATATTTTCTTTAGTTGTTACAGGAACTAAAATCTTTTTGTCTCTGGAGAGAATACGGAGTACTTCCAGGCAGGACACTTGACACGTTGTTGGGACATCCTTTACAAGGACTTTAAATATGCCTTCACAGAGTTTCTGAAAAACAAGAGCAAGTATGCAAAAACCATTATTTGGTTCAAATAATTTAAAACATAATGCTTCTCTAGTGATATATTTAATAGCAGCTAAGGATCTGGCTAGAAAAGAGTTTTATTTTTTATAAATCACAGAATGTTGTAACTGAAAGAGCTTGTATTTGGCAAATGGTTTTCACTTAGAGACACAGAAACTGAGGATCAGAGAGGGAAGTAACACGCACTACCGCAGGGTGAATTAGTGCCACAGTAAGAGTCAGAGCACACTGCCTTCAAAGCCCATTATTTGTCCTATAAAGTCACCTACTTTATTTTAAACTGAGTGGTTTCAAGTGTCTTATTTAGTTTCAAATGCTTTATTCTTAATGAATTTTTAACATTAGACTAAAGACGTATCAGGGTAGACAGAAGGCAGTCCGTCTGGGTCACAGCTCCTCCCTCCCCAGAAACAAAGGTTAACGCTCGGGCACTGGTTTACAGTTGCCCATTGTGAACAAGCATATAAAGTAACTTCAGGGAGCATCGTTTCTGCTGGGCCTCAGCTGTGCTATTTCTTCCAAATTTATAGTTCTAACGGCAGTAGTTCAGTGTTTCAGAAAACCAGAACGCTCTCTAGCTAAGGTCTAATAATAGGTAACGATCAAATGCCTCCAGAAGAGGACTTTTGCTGGCAAGCCAATAAAAATTGTGTTGGGTTTCAAAGAGAGTTCAGCTAGCACACACAGTATTATTGCTTGGAGCAATTGCAAAAAGGTGATCCCTCCAGCAAAGTTAACTGCAAAAAAGTGCTCCCATTGGATGGGCACATTACAAAATAACCCTTCCTCCTCTGACTAGCCCAATTCCAGGACACAGAGTGTGGGGTTCCCAGTGAGGACAAAATCGAGCTCCCCTTTGTTCTCTTGGTAGAGGATGCAGAGCGTAATAATGAACGTAGCAGTCCTGGACCCAAATCTTGCTACCACTATCTCAGTAACAATTCCTTTAGGATGAACCCAAAGCGTATTCTAGCTTGTATTTTTTGAAAAGTAATTATTTCATTGCTAAATTTAATAATCACTGATCATTCTCTCAAAATTCAACATTAGCTTTCTTTTCCAGAAACCAGAGGTTTGGGTCTCTCAGGCTTATCCAAGCAAGAATAATACATCTATTGCTGTCTATTTCTGTACTCTGTTACATCTAACACAAAGTTTACAAGGGTTCTGTTGGACAATCAGCAGACTTTAACTTTTTAAAATAAGCTACCTAGGGTCAAACATTATGATCTTGGTAAGAATCCCAGACTATGAGCAGTTTCTCAGTACATCCTCATCATACAGCTATGGAAATACTAATTTTAAATGTTAATATGTTCTCTAAGTAGCGATGGAAAGACACTCTTTAGTGTCTCTTTATCTGACAAGCTAAAAACAACTTCAAAATAATGTCAACTGTATCTCTGCCATACCTGATAACTACAAGAAATTTTCTTTCAATGCTTTAGTATTATTGTTAAAGCAGTTTTTCAAATGACTATAGCTGGGAGTGGAACAAAGTATTATACGCCTATTATAAATGTATGAATGAATGTATTATATGAATGTATGAATGAATGTATTATGGATGTATTATAAAACATTACATATCTAATAGTACAAAAGCATCTTTACTTTCCTCTTTCCTAAATCAGAACAACAGTAGCAACAATAAAATCCAAAAACAAACAAAATCCATGGGCAAATTGATTTCAAATTGACTGAGAAACTCTGGGATCTATGAAGGGATGTGGAAGAGATCAGAGGTGCCTACAAAATTTATAGTTTCAAACTGTTTCATCTGAACTCTTGTAAGAGATCAGCAACAAAGACAAGATTTTTTGTTTCAAAACAGTCTCCAATCCTAGTTGAATGTTATCATGTCTTGTGACAGATCTATTTCACGCAGTGAACATGAGGTAGCTTTTTGCTATAGTGTCTCCCCTTGATTTTACCCAGCCAGTACTACACTGTTTTAGGTGCTATATGTTTTTTCAGAAGTGCAAAATAGAACCCTGGGCCTTGCTCATGCCAGGCAAGTGCTCTACCACTGAGCTACATCCCCAGCCAATAGAAGTATTTTTTAAGTTGAGTTTACTCTTCCTAGAATGTGTCCTGCTCTCTCCCAACACCTTCTGTTCCTTTCTGTTGCCACTGAACACAGCTGAAACGCCGCCACTGAGCCTTCCTACTGCTGTCTCTCGTCACACACAGCCCTCCTTGTTCTTCAGGTATTTGAAATGGACCATCTGTCCTAGACACAGTATGTCCTGAGACTTTCCTCTGCTGTTCCTGTGGCCTGGGGTGCCCTGCTGCCACATTTACCTATCAGGACCCTACTCTTTCTCTCAAGCTCACCCTGGAAGCCGAGAAGTCTACAAGCTTCCCAGTTACTCCCTCTTTGCTCTTTGTGCCTCCCGCCAGCACCTAGTGGAGTAAGCTGGTAAGATACCTCACTCTTCCAGGATCCTTGAGACTAAGGCATGTTTCACCTGCATCCTAGCAGCTGGCCTACACATGCAGTGTAAGTGCAAGAGAACATAACTTCCCAGAGGTCACACGCATTGAAGTCTACCACCTGACAGTCCAGCACCTTCCGAAGAAGGTCTGTTCTTCTCCTCTATCAGCCACAATTTACTAGTTAGCCTCTTCCTCTCTGTCTAAGTACAATGCATCATCATTACATTATGTTTTAGGAATAAGCTTTTTATTTACTTTCAAGTACAATGCTACCTAGATTGCTAAGTGGCTCCACACTCAAAAACCTTCCATACCTGAACAGCAAAGTTCAAGAAAGTCTGCTCAGTGTTAGTGACTTTGCTCTAGAGTCAAACCAAAAATCTAATCCGAAAAAACCTGTATGGGCTGAGAGTGAGTCACACACTGAATCTCAACATGGACAAAAAGGGGTGATACTTCAGGCTGAGCGCCACCCTCACCCAGACAACACACAGTGCTGTGTCAATGCGTTCACACATTCGTCACTGAGCTTTTTTTTGGGGGAGGGGGGTGCTTTATTTGCGTAAAATATCATAGCCATAGCTCCAAAGAAAATTAGTGACACCAGCAGTAAAGTTAAGAGGAAAACTATGAGAACCACGACAGAGTTAAGGAAAGAAATTGTTGTGAAATCTGTTTACGTCCTGGAAAAATGAATTTATAAGTGTAATTTTTAGGCCTCAGAACCACTTACTGGTTTTCCATTACTTCTGATGGGAAAAGTATGTTCAGTTCTCGAATTTTTTGGTGTTTCAACACAAATTTGGAATGAATTGAGTTTAACAACTGAAGTATCACTGTATTTGTTTTATAAGTTTGTATTCATCGTTCAATTTATTTTTAAAAATCTGAAAATTATTTGGGTATCTTAGATGACAATGGAATACAATTTTTCCCATTAAAATCTTTACTTTACAGTTCAGGTTTCCAGGAACAAACTAAAGCAGGGTTAAGCAAGCTTATAAAATGCAACTATAAGAGCCTTAGTAAATGCCCTTTTAAAATGCCCATTAGCTTAGTAACCCAAGGCTCTTTATATGGTCAGACTATGAAACACAGCAGGAGGGAAACTTCGAGTCAGATATCAAAAGGTCCCAAACACCAATACCATGGATTGCCATGGACTGCAGTTTGCTCCAAATCTTAAGCTCTAGAGTAGACTATAGAACTGGTTCTCAAACTTCAGCAAGCAGCACAATCACCTAAAAAATCCCACAGTGATACACAGTATGTCACCAGTTTCTGATTCAGTAGGTGTGGGGTGAGGACTTTGAACAAGTTTTCAGTTAATGCTGACAGTGGTGGTTGCAGTACAGTTAGCAATGGGCTGCCGTGACCTGGATGTTCGAGGTTAACCGAGGGCAGCTGACCAGATATACGGATAAAAGCAGGCAGCTGAGTGCAAGAAAGTCGGCAGAAAGGTCACTAACGTTAAGCACCTTAACTTCTTCACTGCCCTGTGCTAAAAATGTGTAAGAGTGTCAGGGAAGGAAAGAGGATGTCACTATCAGGTCATAAAACCTTTCCTAAATGTTAAAGAAACACTAGAAGATGAAAGTGTTTTGAACAGTGTCCCGAGCTTGACACTTGTTTATTCTACCGTGGACCCTAAAACCAGAACTGTGATAATTAAGAGCAGGAGTTCTGGATTCAGATTCCGTGCACTTAAATCTTGGCTCTTCTGTTTACTAATCATACCATCTTGGCGAGTCACTCAGTTTTGCTGGGCCTCATGTTTACTTAAGAATTAAATGGGATCATAAATATTATTCAGACCAGTGCTTGGAGTAGGGTAAATGTTCAGTACAGATTCACCATCATATTACAAAATTATAAAATAAAATCTCCAAGACCTCAGCTTGACATTTCAGACCCTCTAAATTGCCTTTCACACTATTCCTCTAAGACCATCCTCTAGCACCGTACCTTCCCAAATTATCTCACACTGAACGCTCTGGCTTTCTCACCCCTTCCCCTCTACATGCATCCATCCTGTTCCTCCTGCACCTATTTACGTTTTAGCTACCCTCCAAAGTTAAGCCTAAAGTCCACTTGCAATATAAAGTTTTCCCTATCACTTCCACCCCAACATTCTGCCGTTCCACAGCATACCCAATCCACAATTTCTAGCATTCATTTTTTTTTTTTTTTTTTTTGCTTCACATATTTGTCCTTTTAGTTTTCTTTCAGTGAGTCTCCCTCAACTACCATAAGCTCTCTGAAGGCAGAAAAGGTATCTTTTTTCAGGAAAGAAGAATATGTACTGACGTGATCTGGATCAAAAAGGCCTGAAGTTTAATACCTGCCTTTGCCTCTGTATGACTGTAAGTGTGCGTGTATGCATACTGCTAGGTGTATGATACGGACAATCTATGTAACAACGCTGAGCCTCAGTGTCTCATTTGTAAATGGAAATAACACCATTCACATCTCACAAGGCTGTTACGAAATAAAACTCTGCTATATAGCAAACATTCTTTAATGG